CTTCTACTGCCTAGGACGTCCGATTGACCTCAAATTTTGTACACAAGTCGCATTTGACATTAAGGACCTACTCCAACTTCCAGAATCGGAATCCGACCCCGATATCAAAAAGTCCACTTCTAGTCAAACCCTCAAAAACCTTCAAATTTCCAACTTTCGCCAAACGACTCCACAATGACCTGCGGACCTCCGAATCCACTTCCGGACGCGCTCCCAATATCAGAATCACCATACGTAGCTATTCCCAGACTCGAAATCCCAAACGGACATCGATAATATTGAAATGCACTTCAACCCGAATTTATGAAATTCTTCCAAAATACTAACTTCCACAATAGGCGCTGAAACGCTCCCGGGTCATCCAAAACCCGATCTGGGCATACGCCCAAGTCCGAAATCGTCATATGAACCCATTGGAACTTTCACATCCTGATTCCGAGGTCGTTTACTCAAAAATACACCTTAGTGAATTCTCCCAACTTAAAGCTTCCGAAATGAGAATTTTCTCTCTAAATCAACTCCGAACTTCCCGAAATTCAATTCCGACCACGCGTACAAGTCATAATACCTAAGGTGAAGCTACTCATGGTCTCAAACCGCCGAACGACGAGCTAAAGCTCAAAACGACCGGTCGGATCATTACATTTGTGCTACAATCATCAAGAAATTTTGCCCAACAATATCTTTGATTGTGAACATAGTTTATTAATTATGAGAACGGACAATTTATTTTTCTGTGTATGAGTTAAGACTCCATACACTAAATCGTCTGCTACATAATTAAAGGACACACATGTAACAAATGATCTATTTAAAATAATATTTTATTGAATTGAATCAAATAAATAATTGTTCCCTAAAGAATATAACATAATACTATAGCTAAATCGCATGGTTAATAGTATATCCCAACAATCTCCTACTTAGATTCATAACCATGCGTATACAACTCTAATACCCATTCCTTCTACTTGCTTGTCAAAAGTCTTCTGTGGCAAGCTCTTTGTAAACGGGTCTGCCAAATTGTTCTCTGAGCAATCTTAAACACTTTTACATCATATGTCCGGAATTAAATGATATTTACGCTCAATATGCTTACTCCTTTTATGGATTCACGGTTCTTTCGAGTTTGCGACTATACCACTATTGTCACAATTAGAGGTGTAAATGGATCGGGCTAGTTCGGTTTTAATCAAAATCAAACCAAACCAACTATATAGGATTGGATTCGTTCGATTTCGTCGGGTTTTTCGAATTTTCGGGTTCTTTGTCACTTACTTATTATTTCAATCTTACTTTGTTAAATATTTGATAAGGAATATATATTTAGTAAAAATATAAAAAATTGACAAACATATTATCGATTAAAATATTCTTATGGGAAAATTCTATTAGTAACACATAATAGTTATTTTTTAGCCGTCTGACAATAATTTTTCGTTGATATGCACTTTCAGGTTAATCGAATTTAGTAATTAAACATAAAAATCAATATGATACATAAATATTAATTATCACTTCACATTCGAAAAAGATATAAGAATTTAATAGATCTTAACATATGATATGAATATGGAAGAACAAAGAGATAGACGCATTTCAGTAATACATGATAAGAAAGTGATCCTACAACCCATTATATAAGGTCAATAAATATGGAGAACTTCATATTCTATTAAAATATCCCGCAAGTATCCCAAATATTTCTAGATATTTTTTAAAGAAAATTCTATATAAAATCTTAAAAGTATATATAAAATTTATATATTTATATGTCGGGTTGGTTCGGGTTTTTTTCAAATACCAAACCAATTAAGTCGGATTTTTTAATTGGTTTGGTTTGACTTTTCAGTTTGGTGTTTTCGGTTCGGTTTGTACACCCCTAGTCACAATAAAGTACATTTGGTGCTTGAACCGAAGGAACTACATTAAGCTCTTTCAGAAAGTTCTCGAGCCAAACAGCCTCTTTAGTTGCCTCAAAGGCAGCCACATATTCGGCTTCCATGGTGGAATCAGCAACACGTGATTACTTGATACTCCTCCAACTTATGGCTCTACCTCCTAAAGTAAAAACATATCCTGAGGTAGATTTTCTAGAATCTCTATCTGACTGAAAATCTGAATCAACATAGCCAATGGGTGCAAGATCACCTGAGTGATAAACCAACATATTATCCCTAGTCCTTTTCAGGTACTTGATTATATGCTTAACGACAGTCCAGTGTTCTCGTCCAGGATTAGAATGAAATATGCTAATCATGCCAACAGCAAAGTAGATATCAGGTCTAGTACATAGCATAGCATACATGAGACTCCCTACAGCAGAAGTATAAGGGACCGCCTTCATCTTTTCTATCTCATCAGTTTTTTTGGGGACTGATTCTTTGGCAGACAAATTTCATGCCTAAAAGGAAGAAACCCTTTCTTGGAATCTTGCATTCTAAACCTGGTGAAAATAATATCAATATAAAGTGCTTGAGATAAGCCTAATATCTTTTGCTTGCGATCTCGCATAAGCTTGATCCCAAGGATATGTGCTGCCCAAGTCCTTCATATTAAAACGCGAGGACAACTATTCCTTTACTGAATTCAACATGCTCACATTATTTCCTATGAGCAAGATATCATCTACGTGCAAAATAAAAAATGCAACTTTACCTCCATCCCACTTTTTATAGACACAAGACTCGTTTTCACATTGATCAAAACCGAAAGTTTTAATCGATGTGTCAAAACAAGTAATCCATGCTCTAGAAGCCTGTTTTAATCCATAAATAAATTTTTTTAATTTACACAACATGTGCTCATTGCCACTTTTTATGAAACCATCTGGTTGTTCCATATAGATGCACTCATCAAGACTTCCATTAAGCAAAGCCGTGTTGACATCCACTCGCCAAATCTCATAATCGTAGCGAGCAGCAATGATAAGAGAATCCTAATGGATTTAAGCATGGCTACTAACCTTATAATCAATCCCTTCTTTTTGAGTAAACCCTTTTGCAACAAGCCTAGCTTTAAAAGTTTGCACTTTTCCATCCACTCATCTCTTTTTTTATAGATCCATCTACAACCAATGGGTTTGACTCCAGTAGCTGCTTCCACAAGGTCCGGGACTTGATTGGAGTACATGGACTCCATTTCAGATTTAATAGCAACCACCCATTTTTTAACGTCAGTATATTGTAGTGCTTCGTCGTAATTAAGAGGTTCTGTATTAGGCTATTCAGGGATTCTATCATAAGATTCTCCAAGAGCGCAAACCGGAGAGGTTTTTAAATAATTCTCCCATTACGACTAGTCACTACAGGTGCAATTTGATTTTGTTGTTGAACCGCAATATCATTTTCGGAACTGAAGCCTCAATGTTATCCTCCACACCTTGCGGTGTTGGGATATCATTAACTTCTTCCTGAAGTGTAGGCTGCACAATAATTTCAGGTTGCTCAATAATCTGAGGTTGCTCAATATTATTCCCACTACTTTGGGGTAGCGAGATGTCAGGCAATTGCTCTTGTATGTTCTGCTGCCGATTGACATTTCTCTCACTACGATAATGCAGTGGTATGTCAATACTGGCTTACGGCATACGTTCTAGAGATGAGTCATTAGTTACTCCATTGCCTAATTCTTGTAAAACTAGTTTACTTCTAGGAATATGGTTCATTAAATAGTCCTCTTCTAAAAATCTGGCATTTGTCGCAATAATTATCTTCTTTTCTTTGGGACAATAAAATAAACCTCCTTTTGTTCCCTTTGGATATCCAATAAAAATGCACACTTCTGTCCTCGATTCCAATTTATCCGCTTTCCCATTCAGCACATGTGTTGGACAACCCCAAACCCGAATGTGCCGCAAACTAGGCGTGCGCCCAGTCCATAATTCTACTAGGGTTGAAGGTACTAACTTTGAACGAACCAAATTCAGAATATAATTTGCTGTTTCTAAAGCATATCCCTAAAAAGAAGAAGGCAAATCGGAATAACTTAACATTGATCTAAGCATTTCCATAAGGGTCATATTTCTTCTTTCTGCCACACTATTTTGTTGTGGTGTTCCTGGGGCAGATAATTGAGATGTAATTCCACAATTTGATAAGTATTCAACGAATTCTGCAGAAAGATATTCACCACCACGATCAGATTGCAATGATTTGATATGTTTATCATGTCGTTTCTCCGTTTCCGTCTTAAATTCTTTGAATTTATCAAAGCATTCAGACTTACGGCGCAACAGATAAATGTATCCATATTTTGAGTAATCATCTGTGAAAGTCACAAAATATTCAAAACCACCTCTTGCTTGTATATTCATAGGGCTACACAAATTAGAGCGAATTAACTCTAACTTACCACTAGCTCTATTTTCTTTTGAGAGGAAATGTCTCTTGGTCATTTTTCCTTCTAAACAGGATTCGCATGTTGGTAGTGCTTCCACTTTCAATGAACTGAAAGGTCCATCCGAAACCAACCTCAAAATTCTATTTTGATTTATATGACCTAGACGTAAGTGTCACAAATAAGTTTGGCTCAATTCAGAAATACGTTTTCTTTTTTGTGGCAGATTAATGTTATTTAATTCTTTTGGTAATAGCACACGAGGAGATATATCAAGAATAAGGTCAGGTACTCTAGCAGCAATATAGATAAAACATTTATTAAACTTAATAACAGCAGAGTTATTAATGATTATAACAAGCATATATTATTTTCGAAATCGAAATCAAATTCCTTCTAATAGAAGGCACATAGAGAACATCTTTTAAAACTAAAATTCTATCACTACTAAATGAAACTCTAATATCTCATAATGCTAAAGCTGGTGGTGGCTCGCCATTGGCTTGAAAAACGCAAACTTCATTCTCACTTAGCCGCCGCGTTTCCTGAAACCCCTACAAAGTAGTGCAGATATGATTAGTGGCTTCTGAATCTACACACTAAATTATGGTAGAGACAGCCGCTAAACACGTTTCAACGCCATTTAAATTTGAATTACCTTGCTAATTCAACTTTTCCAGATAGGCAGGACATTGCTTTTTCTGATGCCCAGGTTGTTTGCAATGATAGCACTTTCCTTTGGGCTTTTTCACACCACCAACTGTACCTCCAGGCGCCAAAACCTTGTGAGCCTTTTTCTTTTTCTTAGCGCCTCTTAGCTTTGAAACTGAAGCTTTCTCAATATTCAGTACCACAACCGGAGCTTGCTGTTTGATAATAGATTCTGCCGCTTGCAGCTTATTCAACAATTTCGTTAGTGACAAATTCATTTTGTTCATATTATAGTTCAAGCAAAATTGTTGAAAACTGTCAACACAGTCTGCAGAAGCATCTCAACTTGAGATTCCTTATCAATCATAGCTCCAAGGACCTCCAGCTCATTTATAAGACCTATCATCTTCAGAGCATGGTCCCTAACCCGATGATCCTTCGGCCATCTTGCTATTTAAAAGGGCTTTCATCGCTATCTGCTTAGCCGCACGATTTTGATCACCGAACATCTCTTTGAGACTTTCGAGCATGTCATAAGCAGACCCCATAGACTGATGTTGATGTTGCAAAACATTCGCCATAGAGGCAAGAATGTAAAATCGTGCCATCTCTATCAGCCTTAACCCATTTATCATAGACCTTAACCTACTCATCAGTAGCATCTTCATCAGGTTTTTTTGGGCACTCCTCAGTGATTACGAATTCTTAACCTTCAGCAGTTAGGACAATATCAAGTTTTCTTTTCCAGTCAACATAATTCGGGCATTCTAACTTGTTTTGGTTTAAAATTGAGGTAAGTGGATTGAATGAATACATAGTTAATCTGAGATATATTCACATTAAATAAATCATTAGTTATGCAATAATAATAAAATTCGAAATAACACATTACACATATAACCATGCTCATTGAAGAGTTAGATTCGATAAGAAAACTTAATTGTTCATGCAAAATATATGAGTTATGTCAGATATTCACCCCATAAATTAAAATTGGACCAACTCAGATGGAGAGTAAACTGTCAATTTAAGATAGGTAAATATCACTTTTATAACCCTAGTTTCATTGAATCAACATGTAGCTCAGTTGGGGAGCTAATACAAGTTATCAAATTATTAGAGGCAAAACTATAGTAATTATCTATAATGAATATATCCGTGTGGAAGAAGACCTATTTCAACAAATAAATTCATTATATTACTGTAAAACATGAATTGAAACCATAGGGATTGAACCCTAAAACCACTATTTTCGTAAAAAAAATTCTTTTTAAAAAAAATTCTAGAAAATATAGCCAAAACCCCATCTAAATGGCCCCGAATGCCCGAAAAACTACATCATGATCAAAACTCGTGTGTATTGCTCACTGGGTCATTTCCGACGAACCTACCAAATTTGAGGTCAATCGGAGTTCGACAGTATTTCAGAATTGCAAAATCATGACCAATATGCAAAAACCGATTTTTGGCATTTTTAGGTTTCTAAATATTTTTGACTCGTTCATATTGATAACTAGGGATTTTGATACATTTTATACTCCTCCTTGCTTATGTTTTGATTAGAAATTTGTACAAAATAGTCCTAAAAGGCTCACAAATTGTGCTTGATTGCAAGTTTGATCAATAAAGTGACAAGATGTCAAAGGTCAGCTCAAAAAGGAGTGAAACATGGACAAGTACCAAGACAAGACAAAGCTCAGGCAAAACAGGGTCAGTGCGGCCGCACACCATTCTGTGCGGTCCGCACAAGTGAGATTCAGAGAAGGTGTTTTCCAGGCCAAAGGACAATGCGGCCGCATGAGATTTAATACGGTCCGCATTGGAGTTACTGCGGCCGCACTCGATTTAGTGCGGTCCGCAGAGCCAAAGATCAGAGAGGTGCCAGTTTTGAAGATTGAAGCCAATGCGGTCCGCGCTCCATTTCATGCGGACCGCACTAGAAGCCACCGCGGCCGCACACCATTCTGTGCGCTCCGCATTGCCTGAGTTCAGAGAGCTGGAATTTTGTGTTCAGAGCCCTAGTGCGGCCTCACACCATTTGTGCGGTCCGCACTAACCCCGCAGGGGTATTTTTGTCCAGACTTTTCAGCTTAGTATAAATAGCTTCTTTTCCATTTTTAGGTCAGGCAGATAGATTTTGTACTGAGCTGCGCTCGTGACTTCCGTTTCTTTAGCTATTTTTGGCAATTTTATCTTCATTTCAACATTGAATCTTCTATTTTATCTGAGCAATTAATTAATATGAGTTGTTTTTCATTTATTTCTTTGTTTCTCTCTCTAAATATGAGTAGCTAGACCCATCAGCTAGGGTTGTGGCTCAACCCTAGTGTGGGTAATTGATGGGTCTTGTATTTTAGAGCTTGATTGACTATGGGTGTTTGATATTTGGGCTAATTCCAAGTTTAATTGCTAAAATTAGTGGTTGCAAACACTAGTTTGTGTTTAGTTGACTTTAGCTCTTCTTGAGAAAGAGAGCCTAAGTCTCTAGAATTAGTCCAACAAGGAATTAGGGCGTACTCAAGAGAATTGACAGCCCCAATTAAAGGGTTAAACCGAGAGATCGTAATACCCGACTTGAACCTCAATTGCTTGTGAAAATTCGCATACCCAATTGGTCTTGAGAAAGCCAACTCGGGCAAAATCACTCGAACTACCGAGAAGTATAGAGTGAGTAGAATCGAGCAATGGTTATATCATACTCCCCAAATGTGTCAATCTAGCTTTAGACTCAAGATTCCGTTAATTGACCACCTAGGCGAAAGTCACTACCCTAGTGCCCTTTAATCATTTGAACAACTTGCAATAGTTTAATCCTAGCTTATAGTAGTTTAATTGAGCATTCTAATTTATAGAACTAGAATCATAATTAAAACCCAAAAATGTGTAGAAGTGCAATTTGGAGCAAATACACAACTCCACTTTAGATAGACACCCAACTCCAATATCTAGCTCTCTGTGGAATTCGATCCCGACCCTAAATCGGGTAAAAGCTGCTTCGACCTCTCTCGCTACTTAATAGTAGTGCAAGGTTGGCCGTGATCACATATCACATATCATACTTATTTATGTTAATCCATGATTTCAGAACTCAAAATATTATTATAATAGTATCATTTTTGGGAAAAACAACACTGTTTTCATGGAATAAACACAACAAGCATGTATAATAAAACACCACGTTTTAAGTTTACTCTATTCATGTTGTATTACATTATCTAGTTAGATGTAAGACGGCGTCTGATACCAATTGTTAGAGCATGCGCAGCGGAAGCAAGCATAAACACAGGTATCACAGACATATAAACTAGACAATGATTTAATTACAGAGATATAAGTACTAACCTCTCGAAACTGTTGCACAAGTCCTTCATAGAGCAAGAATCCAGGGTTGCGATCTTCTGCTATGCTCCTAACAAAACCTTGGACGAAATTATTTGAGTGGGCAAAATAACATTACTCTGAAGAGTGAGTTATTAGGTGAAACGGGTCTTCTACTTGTAGACCCAAAAATAAGCCAAAAACAGGCCAAAAATCGTGTAGGATTCTGCTAGTAAAATCCTTATCCAACTCAAACAGATAACTTTTCTCTCAAGTAACTTTCTACCTAATTCTGTCAAGATTTTTACTAGGTATAGCAGGGACCACAGAAATAATAAGAGGCTACCAATTATAGTATTAATTCGAAATTTGGATGAATTAAATCCTACTATAATTAATCACAGTTTATTCCACTAAAAAACTGCAATTGAACTCCTCAATATGAATTTCGTAATTCACAAACACTTATTTTAATTCCCCATGTTAAGATTACAAATACCAATCAATTAAACTAAATCACTGGCAATTTAATTTAATTAACTAATTAAATCCTTTATAATTTCGCTTAAATTATTTGACAAATATAAAATTCAGCGGTCGGGTTTTCACATGAAAACTAATAAGCTTATATAAAGGGGTATTATCAAACTCAAGGTCGAGTCATGGATTCTATCAACTAAATATCATTCACAAATGTTATTCGTTATTGTCCAATCTATTAGGCATACACTAACTCTGAATAAAGTTGTACCTTTTGATAAATCAAATCAATAAATAGATCACATTGATCATAATAACTATATCAAGATTAGGAGTGTAAGCTCATTTAATGAATCAGAGAAAATGTTTTATATATTCAGTACATAAATATTTTTTCTGTACTTGGTCCGTTCAATATACACTAAGTATACTAGCACAAGAGGTTGGAGTAAAACCACTCCCGTAATCAAGATAAATTATACTTTAATCTTGTGCTACAATCATCAAGATATTTTGCCCAACAATATCTTCGATTGTGAACATAATTTATTAATTATGAGAATCGACAATTTAATCTTATGTGTATGAGTTAAGACTCCATACACTAAATCGTCTACTACATAATTAAAGAACACAAATGTAACAAATGATTTTAGATAATACTTTATTGAATTGAATAAATCAAATAAGCAATTGTTCCATAAAGAATAAAACATAATACTATAGCTAAACCGCATGGTTAATAATATATCCTAACAATAATTTCAAATTTTACGCCGTAAGAGTTAGATTACAATTTAGCCATTTATTTAAGAAGAGAAGTAAATATAAGTTATCACAAAATTACTGGTTATATAAACAATAAATCAATTACAAGCATTGACATAATGTTACTCTGGTTAGAACCCAAAACAGTTAAGTTGTAACTTGTGGCTCGTGAGTGTGTTTTCATTTGGCAAAGCAACATTGATTCTGATATAGGTTTAAAAAGATTTGTAGAATAAAGTGGATCTTGTTAGGACAAATATATAAATGTAGGAGTTAAACTGATAAAAAAGGAAATTGAGATTGGTAGTCTACAAATAAAAAGGACTCAAAGTTGGTGGTGGAGAGAAAAAATATGTAGATCGATTCGGCTAACTTGCATTATATAAACAATTATCTGTTGGTAACCTAACTTTGGTCCTCTGCTTTCAAAAGTGGAACATAACCTTCTCTCGAAAGTCCACAGTCAGCTCAAATATTGTCACTCTCCCTATTTTAATCTCACGGATTTAAGTATTATACATCGAAAGTATAAAATCAGTATCAATTATCTGTTAGTCTAAATTAAAAATCTATAGTGTCATTATACATAACTTAATATTAAAAATCTAATTGTCAATATACATAACTTAATATCAGATGCCCTATATATATATATATATATATATATATATATATATATATATATATATATATATATATATTCTCTACGTAATGGAATTTGAACCCAATAAATTAACAGTAAAACTCGAAATTGGAACCTAAAAGTTAAAATCCTGGTTCTGCTCAACGGCCAAGTGTTCTGCCTACCTTCCTCTCAAATGGCAAAATAACAGTTTTAAAGCGGAAAAAACTTAGTTCTTCCCATTTGACCAGAATTTTTTCTAGAGTTTTACTTTTTAACTCATCTTCAACAACACTATAACTCCACCACCCCACTATCCTCTATGGGTTTGGGGGAAGGAAGAAAGTAGTGTCTGAAGAAAAATAAGTTTATAAATATAAAATTTTCTCTCATTAAGAAAAGTCAAAAATATTGGTGAAGAGAATTTCATTACATGCAACTATACTAAAAAGTTGCATTAATGAATTGAACATTTCTTGATAATCTTCTACTATATAACCTCCAAATATTGATCATTTCAGTTATCAACCCTCTAAAAATCTTGCACCAAGAGTTCATTCTATACAACTGTTACATGCATGCAATGTACTGAATATTCTTGTTCATTTTAATTTTCTTATGAACAAGAACAACTCTCCAAAATCTTAATCATTTCTTCAGTGAACCTCAGAATCTTGATCATTCTTTAGCAACTATTCAAAAGTTTTGATCTTTTCTACTAATCTTATACATAAATTATCTGTTCTTGATGTGTTACAATTAGTATTTATAACAGTGTGGAAAAGAGAGAAAAAATGGAGGACTCGTTTTTGGGGGATGAGTTAACAAGATTGAGGTGTAATAGTAGGATGAGTAGTTGGAGGTCATCTCAGAGTATTAGGGAAGTGTTTGGAGGGCCAAGGGATGTTTTCATGAAGAATTACAGTACGCGGTGGAGGGAGATGGCGGAGGAGGAGGAGAAGGAGCTGAAATGGGCGGCGATAGATAGGTTGCCAACGTATGATAGACTGAGAAAAGGGATGATGAAGGAGGTGATGAACAATGGGAGGGTGGTTCATAATGAAGTTGACATGACTAAGCTTGGTAATCAAGAAAAAAAGGTTCTAATGGAGAGTATTCTTAAGGTTGTAGAAGATGATAATGAGCAATTCCTTAGAAGACTCAGACATAGGACTGATAGGTGATTTCTCTTTCTGGTTACTAATTCCGTAGTTACATGTAGTTCTCTTTTAAGTGACCTATTTTTACACTGCCAATGTACATAAGTTAAACTCAGTGCACAATATAAGTTATTATGAAGGGCAGCATTAGCGTAACTGGTAAAGTTGCTGCCATGGGACCAGGAGGTCACGGGTTCGAGTCCTGAAAACAGCCTCTTGCAGAAATGCAGGGTAAGGCTGATTACAATAGATCCTTGTAGTCCGGTCTTTTCCCGGACGTCGCGCATAGCGGGAGCTTTAGTGCACAGGGCTGCCCTTATTATTTCTTCTTTTTGATCATGTTAGAATTTAGGTATGATTAAGTTGCTGCATGTTATACTGATGTGAAATTTCACAATGGAGCAGGGTAGGGATAGAAATCCCAAAAATTGAAGTGAGATTTCAGAACTTAAGTGTACAAGGAGATACATATGTTGGGACAAGAGCACTTCCTACTCTGCTAAATTCCACCTTGAATACCATAGAGGTAAATGTTTTCCTCCTTTTCACAAAACTGTATTTGTCATACTAACAGTACAAGAAATAAGGATGAAAAAATGTGGTTGTCCTTTGGATGCACATCTATCTGTTAATGTTCTTTTCTTTGTTTATTACTTAACATTGTTTTCTTTTGATTCTCTATATGTTCTTAAATGAACAGGCTGTTCTTGGATTGATTCATCTCTCTCCATCCAAGAAAAGGGTTGTTAAAATCCTTGAAGATGTGAGTGGAATTATAAGGCCATCAAGGTATGTTGCTCACTACCTCAAGGCTTGCCTCTGTTTCATGACTTAAATCGGGAATAAAAGTTTATCCCAACTTATCTAGTATACACCAAACACATGTTTTATATTATACCCCATATATCTCATTTTTAGTCCAAAGAACCAAACATATACCAATAAAAATATATCCACTAAATTATCCCTTCACAATTTAATTCCCTTATTATAATCCCGGTATAACTTGTTCCCCAACCAAACGATCCCTAACGGTTAGTAGACATAGTAGCATCAGCTTTGATCATTCCTGATTTAGCTACTGGTTAATAATTTTTCTAACATCCATATTGTGTTCCAGATGTCCTTTACCTTCTTGCTTATCACTTATGGTATTTGATTTCAGGATGACATTACTCCTAGGGCCTCCTGGTTCAGGAAAAACAACTTTTTTAAAAGCACTTGCTGGAAAAAGTGAAAAAGATTTGAGGGCAAGTTTATGCTGCTTGCTTTTCTCTTTGTTGAAGTTGTTAACTCATATGCAAATGAATCATAGCTGAATTATGCGTTATATTTGCAGGTGACTGGAAAAATTACATATTGTGGGCATGAGTTTCATGAATTTGTTCCACAAAGAACAAGTGCTTATATTAGCCAGCATGATCTGCACCACGGAGAGATGACAGTTCGCGAAACATTGGATTTTGCTGGTAGATGCTTGGGTGTTGGAACCAGATACGATTTATTGGTAGAGTTGTCTAGAAGAGAAAAAGAAGCCGGTATAATGCCAGATCCTCAAATTGATGCATTTATGAAGGCAACAGCAATAGATGGCCAAGAGACCAGTTTAATTACAGATTATGTACTCAAGGTCTGTAACTTCTGGTTTTTTTTTTTTTTTAAGGTTTCAGCTTTCTTGCTTGTGCCAAAGCCCTTATATTAACAGTAATAGCCATTTCGAAACAGATTCTCGGATTAGATATTTGTGCTGATATCATGGTTGGAGATGATATGAGAAGAGGCATTTCAGGTGGACAAAAGAAGCGCGTCACTACTGGTATATATCTCTCAGTTTCTGTGTTTTTCTCCTTCCCCCGCCCTTCGTTCTTGTGATAATTGTGTCTACAAAGTCATCACTGTTTCATATTATTTCCTAAATGAAGGGGAAATGTTGGTTGGACCAGCAAAAGCATTTTTTATGGATGAAATATCAAAAGGGCTGGACAGTTCCACCACTTACCAGATCATCAAGTTTATGCGGCAAATGGTTCACATTAATGATATAACTATGGTTATCTCCCTCTTACAGCCTGCACCCGAGACGTTTGATCTATTTGATGATGTTATTCTCCTATCGGATAGTCAAATTGTCTGCCAGGGTCCGAGGGAAAACATTCTTGAATTCTTTGAATACATGGGATTTAGATGTCCAGAAAGGAAAGGAATAGCAGATTTTCTTGTGGAAGTTACTTCCAAGAAGGACCAAGAACAGTATTGGTTTAGGAAAAGCAGGCCTTATGTATACATATCTGTTCCTGAGTTTTCCGAGTCCTTCAATTCTTTTCAGATTGGTGAACAAATTATTGAGGAACTTACAATTCCATATGATAAGCACAGCGTTCATCGTGCAGCATTAGTGAAAAATAAATACGGTATCTCCAACCAGGAACTATTCAAGGCATGCTTCTCAAGGGAATGGCTGCTGATGAAACGCAGTTCCTTCTTGTACATATTTAAAACTACTCAAATCACAATTATGGCAGCCATTGCATTGACAGTGTTCTTAAGAACACAAATGAAAGCTGGCACTGTAAAAGATTCTGCTAAGTTCTGGGGAGCACTGTTTTTCAGTCTCATCAATGTGATGTTCAATGGGATGCAAGAGCTTGCGATGACAGTTTTTAGGCTACCTGTATTTTTCAAGCAGAGAGATAGCTTGTTTTATCCAGCATGGGCTTTTGCCTTACCAATTTGGGTGCTAAAAATTCCCATTTCAGTAATGGAATCTGCTATATGGATCATTCTTACATACTATACCATTGGCTTTGCCCCTGCAGCCAGCAGGCGAGTTCACATTTACTCAAAACGAAAAGCTGCATTCATTTTACTATACTATGATTATATGTGTAACTTACTAATCTTTGTTTCTTTTTCAGGTTTTTCAAGCAGTTATTGGCATTTGTTGGTGTCCATCAGATGGCTCTTTCTTTGTTCCGATTTATTGCAGCAGCAGGAAGAACACAAGTAGTTGCAAACACACTTGGAACCTTCACTTTGCTTATGGTGTTTGTACTTGGAGGCTTCATTGTATCAAAAGGTCGCAATTTGCCTCCCATGTTTTTTTACCATTTTGCCACTATACCTTGAAAGTACTAATATACTAGACTCTGTATATTCAGATGATATTCAAGATTGGATGATTTGGGGCTACTATTTGTCTCCTATGATGTATGGACAGAATGCAATTGCCATAAATGAGTTTCTAGATGATCGATGGAGTGCTGTAAGATCTGATTTTCCATTCATTTTTAGTAGAACATCAGCTTGAAGAGGTATTTTTTTTAACATATTCATTCTTTTGTGACAGCCCACAAATGGTTCTCAACCAACAGTAGGAAAGACACTTCTTCATGCAAGAGGCTTATTTACCACAGAAACCTGGTATTGGATAAGCATTGGAGCACTTTTTGGATTTTCACTTCTCTTCAATGTTCTCTTCATTGCAGCTTTGACAATTTTAAATCGTATGTTAACTTTTCTATGATTTACTTTCACAACTCAACTGTAAAGAGATTGACATATTAACTCGTAGCATAATTCTCAGCTATCGGGGATACTAAAGCTGTCAGAGTTGAGGATGGAGACAAAAACAATAGCAGGCCACAAGAAACAGCAATAGTTGGAGGTAAGTAACTTTTAGATTTCTGTTTTTGTATATTTTGTCAGCAACTTTTTCTATTACCTTGATGAAATGGAAGTCAAATGGTTTGAAGTAATCAAAGAGAACATAGAGCACTATAACAATAAATTTAATCGGTAAAACTATTTAAATTATTTTATGCCTGGTTTAACTTGACAAAGCTCTGCTTTTTATCATTTTAAGCACTTTTTTCTGAAATAATTTAATTTACATAACTCTAACTTGTGGAGCCATAACTAAGCTGCTTTAAGTCTAAATTTGGACTTCTATACATGCCATCAAGTTTTCAAACTTCTTATTTTTGATGCATTCCCAAATTCTGATCATTTAAGTGTCAATTCTCAAAGGACACCAGAATGAGACTAATTCATCACGCTATAACTACTACAGATATTCAGATGGCTCCAACACGGTCTCAAGCTAACACCAGCTCTGTTATTCCTTTCCCCAATAATGAATCAAGAAAAGGAATGATCTTGCCGTTCCAGCCCCTTTCACTAGCATTCAACCATGTGAATTACTATGTTGATATGCCTGCCGTAAGTTCTTTTTTTCCAATTTAACTGATGATTCTCACTGTTTCTTTGACACTAACTGGAATACCACATTAAAACAAACATATTATAGGTCTCTAAACATGGAACTTTTGTTTTATCAGGAAATGAAGACTCAAGGAGTTGAAGAAGAGAGACTGCAACTTCTACGAGATGCTAGTGGTGCCTTCCGGCCTGGAATTCTCACTGCCTTAGTTGGTGTCAGTGGTGCTGGAAAGACCACTTTGATGGATGTCTTAGCAGGTCGAAAAACAGGTGGATACATCGAAGGAAGCATAAATATTTCAGGTTACCCAAAAAATCAGACAACATTTGCTCGTGTCAGTGGTTACTGTGAACAAAATGACATTCATTCACCATATGTTACTGTCTATGAGTCTCTCCTCTACTCAGCCTGGCTACGTCTTGCCTCCGATGTAAAGACAGAAACACGAAAGGCAAGTCACAGTAACATAAATCTGACTCCACTTTTGTACGAACTGTGTATTAAAGTTTTGACTAACCTTGTTCCTCTCCAAGTGCAGATGTTTGTAGAAGAAGTCATGGAATTGGTTGAGCTCAAACCGTTGAGGAATGCTCTTGTTGGGCTTCCCGGGGTGGATGGTCTTTCTACTGAACAGAGAAAGAGGTTGACCACTGCCGTTGAATTAGTTGCAAATCCATCTATCATTTTTATGGATGAGCCAACATCAGGACTTGATGCAAGAGCTGCAGCAATTGTCATGCGTACTGTCAGGAAAACAGTGGATACAGGAAGAACAGTCATCTGCACGATCCACCAGCCAAGCATCGATATTTTTGAAGCTTTTGATGAGGTATCAATCCACTCTATCCATTTTACATATTATAATTCCATTTTTGAGAAATAGGTTGTGATAAAACCACTCTCTTGTTTAAGCTACTTCTGATGAAAAGAGGAGGACAAGTAATATATGCTGGACCTCTTGGTCTTCGTTCTCACAAGCTGGTTGAGTATTTTGAGGTTAGCTTTCCTTCTCCCTTTAAGTATATGTTGGTTCCTCTTATAATCATAGGAATTCACGCAATACTAAATTATCTCAATATTCTCTTGTCAGTAACTACTCCTTCCCAACTAGTCGTCAGAAATTTGAAAATGAAACCCTTTAAAATAGAAGCACTCAAGAGTGCAGTCACTCCATTGATGAGGCCATATATTATGGCTCACTTCTCTCATAATTCAAGAGGTTTTAATTTTAACTTCAGGTTTTTCATTCTTTAGACCATACCAGGGGTTCCTAAAATCAGAGAGAGCGATAATCCTGCTACATGGATGCTTGATGTGAGCTCCTCTTCCATGGAAACTCAACTTGTTGTCGATTTTGCTGAAGTCTACACCAACTCCAATCTTTATCAGTAAGTTCTTGTTGACACCACTAAGCTAACTTGTCATCCTAATTGGAGTGATTGCCTGATATTTATGAATCTTCTTTATTGTCATATTAATAAGAGTCTCAATTTCCATTGCAGGAGAAATCAACTGCTAATCAAGGAACTTAGCACACCAGCAACTTGCTCGAAAGATCTCTACTTCCCCACTCAATATTCGCAATCCTTCATAACTCAATGCAAGGCCTGTTTCTGGAAACAGCACTGGTCATACTGGAGGAATTCACAATACAATGCAATTAGATTCTTCATGACGGTCATCGTTGGAATTCTATTTGGTGTCATCTTTTGGAATAAAGGGAACCAAATGTAATCCTCAAACTTCTCTGTTTTAGCCTGGATTGAGATGGTGATTTCAAACTGGGAATGCTGACTTTTATTTAATCTGTTAACAGACGCAGACAACAAGACTTGCTTAATCTGCTTGGAGCAACTTATGCAGCTGTCATGTTTCTAGGAGCCACAAATGCTTCTGCAGTACAATCTGTTGTGGCTATTGAAAGAACAGTTTTCTACCGCGAAAGAGCTGCTGGAATGTATTCAGAGTTGCCCTATGCATTTGCTCAGGTATCACATAGACTTTCCCAAATACATGTCTCACCTTCATTGATCAATCAGTCGTGTTCACAAGAAAATTTTTCTCTCTTCCTGAAGTATAGTTGGTTTTGAGATTTTGGCTTACTGTGATCTGCAGGTGGCTATAGAGACTATATATGTTGCAATACAGACCTTTGTTTATTCTCTTATCTTGTTTTCCATGATTGGATACCAATGGACAGCAGAAAAGTTCTTCTATTTCTACTACTTCATATTCATGTGCTTCACCTACTTCTCAATGTATGGCATGATGGTTGTTGCTTTAACACCTGGTTATCAAATTGCTGCCATTGTCATGTCCTTTTTCCTCAGCTTCTGGAACTTATTCTCTGGTTTTCTTATTCCTCGCCCGGTAGGCCAACCTTAAACCAAACTATTAGCAACCATTTCTTGACTCTAGATTTACTTAAGTATTTACAAGGTTTTTGGCTCTTTGGTCATAATTTTACAGCTGATTCCAGTGTGGTGGAGGTGGTACTACTGGGCTTCTCCAGTTGCTTGGACAATATATGGGATTTTCGCGTCCCAGGTGGGAGACAGAACCGATGAACTTAAGCTCACTGGTGAAACTGAGAAAATCCAAGTGAATCAGTTCCTGAAAGAATATTTGGGCTATGATCATGACTTTCTTGTAGTAGTGGTTTTTGCCCATGTGGGTTGGGTTCTCCTCTTTTTCTTTGTTTTTGCTTATGGAATCAAGTTCCTAAACCACCAAAAAAGGTAGAATGGGAGAAATTTCTTTGCACCCCCTAAAGTTTCTCTTAGATAAATGAAACTGTACAGTGTTATAGCTGTAACCTTGTTACAAAGGAGGAGAGTTTGCTTCTTAAGTTTCATTAAACTATGATACGTGTTGCATTCCTTATATTCCATTTCCCCTATTAGCTTTCTTTCCTTCTTTTCCCTGTTCAGTTTTTAGGCGAGCCCTTTCAGCTCATTATGCGATTAGTATGCCTGTTATATCACTTTTTTTAAATGTGATGCATTAATTAATGTATTAATATCATCCACTACATACATAATTCCTCTGAACAGGGAGATCTTTTTATAAGGATAATGCATATGTTGTTAACCAGTAGGCACCTACTTCGCTGACAGCTAGGCACACCCTTCGCTACGATGTTGCAGTAGAATCTAAAGTTGCAAGCCTCAAGCAATAAGCAAGAATGGGCAAAAATATTACAACATATCCTGATAAAAAAATTAAAACATGTCCATTTCCAATCCTGTGATTAAAACATACTTCGCATGTATCTACTTTCTTCGAGTTAGGTAGCAAAATATACTTAGCTAAAAGCAAAAACCAAAGTACCTAGCTATCAGTCAAAACATATATTTTTGCCCTGCCAAGGTTCGCTCTTTCTTTTTAAGGTGCAACTGCAATATCCTTGATCTGCTTCTTGCTCCTCACAGAACTTCGTTTCTTCGTCTCAAAATCTAGTTTATCCAGGTCTTCTGCAATTCCAAGGTAACCATAAAGAATTTTTCCTACCTTGTCCGTCAATGCTTCTTTAGTTTCACCATCACTGCCTCCAGAGTTACCACAACTGATATGCTGGAACTCGGCCCTCCCGTGCTTCCTATGGGCATATATATCAGAGAGTCTTTCTGCTTCTTGCAAACCCGAGAGAGTAGCGCTAAACTTCACCAGAAGAATACTCTGATTTGCAGGCTTACCACGAGAAACCTTGGCCTTCTCCCCAAAGCCCATATCTGTAACGAAGAGAGGGAACAAATTCAGAAAATAAAATAACTGACTCGGACATTCAGCTAACCTAGCAGATATCAGGATAAAAGCTAAGGAACGTCTGAAAATCTCATCAAGCAAACTTGCAATAACCCCGCCAATCAATTAAAAATGAGCAGAATTATAATTTCTTCTTAGTCCCTGAAGGAAGTACAGTAAAATAAAATAGGGAAAAGGGCCAAAATTGTCCCTATACTTTGGATAATTAGTCGCGTTTATACTTGTTTCTACTTTCCGTCTAAAATTGTCCCTACTATTAACAAAGTAGATAAAATCACACCCAACCCTAACGGATTTCCAACGTGACAATGGGACCCCTCACTTAAACTGCCAACTGGGCAATTATCAACCCAAATTTTAAAGGCCCGTGCCCATTTCTTTGACCCAACTATTCTAACCCGTTAGTCTGCCACATGTCTGATCACATGGCTATCTTAACCCACCTTTTTAAACCAACCTCCCTCCCTTCCCGGTTACCTCCTCTTCTCTTTCCTCTTCATTGATGGCTAGTTGGCTACCTCTCCTCTTTCATAGAACCAAGAACATATTTTTAAAGATAGAGAAGGAAAATTGGGCAAAATTCCCGACTCTTTAGATATATGAGAGGATTAGAGTTTGTTCTTCTTTACAAGGATTAAGTTAGATATATGCTTATATTTAGTTTGCTCTAATTAACCGGGGTACAATATACCAAGTGAATTACTTTACTCAGGTATGCTCACAAGTACAGGTCGCCAATCCCTCCTCAGTAACCGTTGCCGGAAAGTCGCCGATAACGGTCGGAGCGAACGTATCCCAATTCTCCGAACAGCTGACCCCGCACTAATACCGCCACCGCCACCGGAAATTTCCGGCGAGAGTCCTTGTCTCGTATTCTCTGAAAGTGTCTTTTCAAACGAGGGAGGCGATGAAACAAAATTCCCAACTCTTTATATATGTGAGAGGATTAGGAACAAACTCTAATCCTCTCAAATTCTTGTGAAGAAGAACATGTTAATTGTGGTGGTGGTGGTGAAATGGAGAAGACGAAATTAGATGGAGATGATTTTATTTTTTTATTTTTTATTATTTTTCACTTGAGCAATGTTGAGCTAAAATTTCCATAGTCTAACTTATGGGTTCTAAGAAAGAGGAAAGGTAGCCACTAGCCATTAATGGGCACGGGTCTTTGGGTCAAAGAAATGGGCACGGGCCTTCAAAATTTGGGTTGATAACTGCCCAGTTGGCAGTTTAAGTGAGGGGTCACATTGCCACGTTGGAAATCCGTTCGGGATGAAGTGATTTTATCTACTTTGTTAACTGTGGGGACAATTTTGGACGGAAAGTAGGTATAAACGTGACTAATCATCCAAAGGACAAGGACAAATTTGGCCTTTTTCCATGCCAGAGTGCTTCATCAAGAATAAAATATGTCCGAGTGCTTGAACGAGTTTGAGGTAAAAGTCCATAAGTAAATGAATTCGAGCCAGTAAAGGTATACCAGCAACTATGTTAAACACACCAAGTTCACAGATTCACTTCAAAGACCCCCCCCCCCCCCCGTCTTTTTTTCCATCTTCCCTTTTCTACTTAGGGGTGAGAGGATGGTGTGGCTTTTTATTAGTGGAAACAACCAGACATTCCAAAAAGTTGCTACCTATTCAACTCAAAAGACATGTATCATTACCACCCCCCTCCCCCAAAATAAAAAAAAGCTAGCCAATATAGTTGATCTGACCTTTCAGTTTAGACTCGAGCTCTTCAGCTGATACAACCACACGTTGATCTGGAACGCTGTTCATCATGGAACTGTTATGGATGATAACAACTGGAGGCCAGATAATTAGATCTTCCTTCAAAGCCACAGTTTCAGCATCGGATAGCATTTCACGAACCCAACCACTGTTAGGAGCATCTGCACTCTTCCATCCCATCAAGGCACATAAAGCTTTGTGAAGACCTAGGTGCTGTGATTTGAGACCATCCTTAGAGGATGTCAATGCATGAAACACGAGGCTTTCTGACTCAGCAAACTCTTCTGAATCTCTGAAACAACACAGAAGATGAGATTAAAAAATCAAGTAAAGTTTAGAGAACTATAACAAGGTCTATTACATAACTTCAGAAGAAGAAAATAAGCTAAACATCAGAGTTAAGAATAAGGACAGATGGAACTTAAAAGGGAAAGGTAAGACTATATCGCAGAAAAGGCTATTAACAGCCGAATGGATTGTGACTTGACTTACCAACCAAAAAACCTCCAACATGAATGTATTATTTCGTAAGAGATAATAGGTCTACAGGGCAAAACTTAAGTTCTTCATTCAGGTAGCTTTAGACAAGACTGCTCAAGAAAGATTTCTCACATCATCCACTAAGAATAAGCCAGTGGCTTCAGAAAAGCAAAATCCAAAGCCAGGCTTGTTTCAAGTGACTTTTAAGCCAAAATAGCTTTTAAGCCATAAGTTATGAATTCTAACTTTTGGCTTTTGGATTGTTTTTGTCATTTTAGCTTAAAAACAAGTGCTTAAAAGCACTTTTTAACTTTATCCAAACACTACAAAATGGCTTAAAAGCTATTTTAGCTTAAAAGCACTTAAAACAAACCAATCCAAACAGGCTCTAAGCTAAGAACTATGCCCAGCCAATAAGGTCTAGAAAAGGTCACTAAAAGTTGCAAATGCCTTTAGCCTTGTACAGGTAAAAAGAACTCTTATTTTATCACGCAGGAGACTCAACCATTAACTATGGTTAGTTGGAGACATCTCTAATCATCAGATAAAAAAATAAAAAGGATGCAAACTTCAATAGCTACTATTTAAATCTAAGTATCAAACGAGCTGCTTCATCTATAGCCTTCCTCAAGCAACGACACCGCATGAACATCTGGTGTGTCAAATCCTGTATAGTTTCAGATCTGATTCTCCCACTTAGATGGAAATAGAAGCAGAGATTTTCTTTTGACCTCATTAAACATCAACATCTCCCTTTTCCACTTCCTCAAGACATGGTTGTTTGAGCAACCATTGTATTTGATCTTCTTAGTAAGCACCATTTGACAGATAAGGGCAAAGGTACTAATACAATTAATATATTTGATAAGCACCATATAGAGATAAGGGCAATGGTGCTAACTAGCCATATGGAGGGGAAATGCCCCTAAGCATCCGGTTATAACATTTTCCTGGACATCAAGACTTCTGACCTACATAATTAAACTTATTCTCCAACTCCGGAGTTCCCATTAATCAGCCAATCAAGTAATCCTCCAACCCAAACTAGTAGGGTCTGACTATCCAAATCCTTACATATCCTTACATCCATGGTGCTGTATTCAGGCCCATTTCATTCCATCCGTGCAGGAAATGCACTTCCAACAGACCTCATAGGCTGAAGCAGCATGGAATGAAAAAGCCTCATCAAATGATAGCAGCTAATCTCATTATTACTCTTAGCCAACTGATTCCTCATAAAACAAGTAATATGAATTACCGATACTTACTTGATCGCAGCAACAAAGTAAAGTACAAGTTCAATTAAAGAGAAGGAGGCGACTCCATCTATGAAAACATTTCATGATGTAAAAGACACACCTGCCACATACGAGGCACTTTAAATTACCAGCTTCCTCAGTGTATTTTCTTCTTTTAGCTGGAGTCTCATTCAAGTGCCTCATGAACCTGAAGAAGGCGTTTTGCACCAGCTGCTTAAAATCCTTAGAGTTCTCAGGAGGTTCAGTTTTTGCTGGAGTAATAATACCTTTGTTGGGGCCATCACCTTGTTCAGCAACACTTTCATCTAAAACATCTTGATTTCTAGAGAACTTAGAAGAATTGAACTTTTTCACCCATGGTGGAGGCACATAATTCTTTGCTACACGGGGTCCCAAACGCTTCTTTAGTGAAGGTTTGTGTTTTTTTCCTAGTGAATGTTCAATATCAAGATTCTGGTAACGTGGCCCCAACCGCTTCTTTATATCTCTTGCACCAGATTTATTATATTTGCTTGAACGACTTGACATGGATACTGAAAGGTTTCTGGTGGAACTAGTGGCAGCGGCTTTGTATGCCCTCCCATTCTTCACATATTTGGAGCGAGGATCATTTAGCCTTCTAGACATAACTGCAGAATCAGTATCCCTGCTGATCCCCATTTCATCAGCATCTCCACGGCCATGGGTTTTGTGTGCACTCCTTACATCACTTGAACTTGTAATTCTAGCACCATGATTGCTCGTTGTGTCATGTTTTTCTCTAAGAGAGAGGTTAGATGGTCCAGGCAAGTCCCTTGCAATATATCTTTCACGAGGACGTGTCTCTATCTTCTTTAAACGGGGGTCATGTCCTCTATACAAGGCACCAGATCTTTCTAGAAGATCATCATCCATCTGATACTCACGAAGCTCTCTTTTACGGGAGCTTTCATAGCCTCGATGTGTTTCATTTTCATACTGTAGGCGATTAGCCCCATAATCCAATATGTCCACATCTGGCTTTCTTTGGTCTAGTGCTCTGCGGGACTCAAAATAATCTGGGGTTGACTGTCTTTGTGAAGAAAAGCGAGATCCCCATGGCTTATCTTCCATTAAAGCCTCTCGATGTGAAATTTCATCATGTTTGCCCAATCCCACATTAGTTCTTGCAACATCTTGAAAATGTGCTTCTCCTGAACCCACCCTCTTCCCATAGAATTCGCTAGACAAGGTATTAGGGCTACCAATTTCACCTCTTTGAATGTCAGAATAACTGTATGTTTCACGCCTTTCCTCTGCTCGACCAAAGTATGACTCGGTGTAGTTCCTGAACCCACTTACTTGCTTTTCAGGGTCCAAAGAAGATATGGTCCCAGGAATTTTATCATATCCACCATGGTCAATAGACTCAATAGTCTTTCCACTATTCAGTCTACCTCCATGAGTATGAATTAGGACCTCTTTACCATATGAACCGGCGATATCATCCTTAATAACTCCAGGTGCCAAGGGCAACACGTTAGAGTGAGATGACGATATTATGTAATCAGAGTTTGAATATCGTGTGGACTTCAAGGAGTCCTCCATGTATATGTCTGTTGATGCAGGCACTCCTGCTTTACGGGAATGGAACCCGTCTTGTAAATGGATTTCCCCATCTTTGAGGTGATCAGCATCCATATAACGTGATGGTAACGAGTAGCCACCATTATTTCCAACGCCAGAGATTCTTGGCTGTACACCAACAGCAGACAGATGAGATTCATATGAAGAGTACAACGTCCTGTTATCAGCTTCTGAAGGCATGCTTCCATCCACAAAACCAGAATAGGTCCTTCCGTGATTTTCTCTCTCGCTGCTTACTCTACTACCACTAACTCCATAGTCGCTGGAGCCCTTCACTGTATCAAACTTTCGGGGCTTATCTAACAAATGACTCCATGGGTACTTTACGGAAGTTGGGTCCTCATTCCCCATGCTCTCCTTTATCTCATGCAACCTGTGTGAATGTTCACCAAGCATGTCAGTGTTACCTCTATCACGATCAGGGACTCTCAAGCTCTGAGATGGTGGCCCATAGTCTCTGTCCCCGACAACATAACTCAAGGGACGGGCATTCTGCAACTCTCCAAAGTCTCCACTGCTGCCATCAATTCCCATCCTTCTAGACCTCTCAAGCTCGTGAAAGTACTCCCCTCTCGGTTCACCAATCATCTGGCCACTTGGTGAAAGGCGACGCTCCCTGCTCCGTCCACGCGGTGAATGCTGCTGCTGCTCCCAGTTCCGTCCACGCGGTGAATGCTGTTGCTGCTCCCAGTTCCGAGTCCTTGTTGGTGGCGAAATCTCCCTGTTCCTAATAATCCTTCCTGGTGGTGAGTATTCCTGGTTTCGACTTCTCATTGGTGGTGAGCACTCACGTTCACGCCCCTGAAATCTCCTCGGTGGAGAGTTCCTCCGCTCTCTGATCCTCATTGGGGGTGAATCCCTAATCCTCCGTGGAGACGAGTAATTCTTGTCCCTTATCCTCCGTCTAGGAGAGTAATCTCCCACATCCCTAATCCTCCTTGGGGAGGAGTAATCCTTGTCCCTTATCCTCCTTCGAGGCGAGAAACCACGGTCCTTTGCCCTACCTGGAAAGCGTGGTGGTGGACCTTTAGCATCTCCTCCAAATCTCCTCTCCCTCATTAATCAATTAAGTATTAACAAAAGACCTCAAAATTTTTAACCTAAATCAATCCAATCTTTTCATAGCATGAACTTATGACCTCAGTATCAGCCAAAAAAAACACTTTCAACAGCTTCCCACTTTCGATCAGCAAATTCTTCAATAACAACAAAATACTAAAAATCCCCCAATTTTCAACCTAAATCAACCCAAACTTTTATACCATGAACTTATGAACCTCGGTATCAGCAAAAGGACAACACCTTTAACAACTTCCAACTATCAATCAGCAAAACTTTCTTGCTTCGCCAACGAGGAAAACGAAAGCAGGAAAACAATAGATCCAAAACCCTAACCCTAAAATAAATTAAACATTACAGCCAAAGTATCTTTCCCTTTACTTCTTTCTACCATACAATATATTCCATTCAAATAAAAGGGTCTCGACAAATACTCTTTCGGATCAACAATCCACAGAAGAGTGATTTATTAACTATTTCAAACCTTTTTGAGATGAGAAGATGAAGAAAAAGCCATTGTTTTCACTTCTTCTGATGACGACGATGATGATTTGATTCGTTCGCAAAGTTTCGATCGTGGAAATTTGGGGATGCGTCTCTGTAATAGCGTTAAATTGCGAGATTGATAGGGCGGATACGAGTTTGGTGGAACACGGGTACTACATTGCTGGGCCAAGTAAACATTCTATAGGATATACAGTTAAATTTGTAAAAATAGAACGGGCTAGCCAGTTTTCGGATTGGTCATTCAAAAATAGCCAGCATTTACAAAGTTATTAAAAATAGCCACTATTTTACTGCAATACGGAAAGTTCCAGCATAATATACTGGAGATCGGTGTACCTGTGTATGAACTTCCAGCATATTAGGCTGGAACTCCAATACGCGGAAAGTTCCAGTATAATATACCAGAAATTGGAGCACTGGTGCTCCAATCTCCAGTATATTATGCTGGACCGGTATACAATACTGGAACTCCAGTATACTTATGCTGGAACTCCAGTATAATATACCGGAGTATTTTTCCGGATTTTAAACAGTATTTTCATTCAGATTTATCTTTACATGAAAAGTGGCTAAATTTCGATTACTTTTGAAACTGTGGGTATTTTTGAATGACCACTTGTAAATATGGCTATTTTTGAATTTCTCCCGTTAAATTTGGGTTTGTACTTGGGTAATGGCCCAACTCAACTTTCTTGGCCCATAATTGGCTTGTCTAAAAGAATTTTTATATAAATTGCATACATAGATTATACACTGATTTTACATGGGTATACATATATAATGTATTTTTCGGCTACCTTTAGTTTAAGAAATTGAGTGGGCTACTATTTAGGTTAATTCTTCTTGCCTATAAGTTTTAGGGATACTTACACAAATAGTGAGATTCACTGTTTACTTTTCTTAGTAGATATACATAGATTATGCATTAATTATATATGATTATACACATATTATTTATAGATTATACATATATTTTATATTCATCAACTATTATTTGATTTAAGTGGTTGGCTAAGAGATTATTTAGTATAATATTTTAAAGTTATAACTACCTACCTTCCATGATTCAACCACATTTAGGATTAGGAGCTCATATTATATAGTAACGTGACATTATCTATCTATCTATCTATATCTATATCTATATTATATATAAAAGCATGAATATAATGTCGGTTTACAAAAATAACCTTATAATATTAAGCATAATAACTCATAATAAAAGGGCATAACCTGAATTCCAGATATTAGCCTCATAATCCTATTAGTTTTAGGATATAATATTACACGTTAAGAATCCTACATTATTACCTTTAGGAATCTTATTAGTATAATTAATTTCGATTTTGGAAATTTATAAACACAAGCCTAAGATATATTTGAAACAAAGTGTAAGCATCAGCTACTGCAGAAGTGTACGTCGTGCTACCCGTGGAATATTCATATTTCACAATTTTTGAAAAGTATTAGCTTTTCTCGGTTTCTAAATTGGATTAACTTTATATATATGTACTCTTTTAGTTATTATTAAAAAATAAAAATAAAAACAATCCCTTCCAAGAAAACAGCTGAAGTTCGAGCAATCTGCCGTTGGGAGCCGTAATGCCTTTTATATATGTCTTGCTCTCACTTATTTAACCCATATTTGTCTCCACCTTTTCATTTTTGCTCTTTTATTTTACTTTTTTTTTTATAAATTAGAATCACATTCATTAGTTTGTATATAAGGTCTATTTTGTTGTATATCTATGTAACGACCCGGCCGGTCGTTTTTGGAATTTACGCCCCGATCCCCCATTAACTGCTTCCCCTAAGTTCATTTCTGCTATTTTGGTTTGCCGGGACGTTCGGTGTTGGGATTTGGAGTGTTTTGGGACACTTAGTCCCTAAATGAGAGCTTAAGAATTGAAAAAATGGTCCGTAATCGGAACAGTGTGAAGAAGACCTCGGAATGGAAATCCGATGGTTCCGTTAGCTCCGTTAGGTGATTTCGGGGTTGGGAGCGTGTTCGGAATGTATTTTGGAGGCTCGTAGCTCATTTAGGCTTGAAATGCCGAAGTTTGAATTTTTGAAGTTTCCGGTCCGATAGTGAGTTTTTGATCCGAGGGTCGGATTGGAATTTCGGAAGTTGTAGTAGCTCCGTCATGTCATTTGGGATGTGTGTGCAAAATTTCAGGTCATTCGGGCGAGGTTTGGTTTGGTTTTTGATCGAAAGTGTGTTTTGTTGGAATTTGAAGTTCTTAGGCTTGAATCTTTGATTTAATCGGACTTCCGGTGTTGACATAGGTGTTTTAAGGATTGGAACAAGTTTGAATAAGGTATTAGGTGGTATTGGTGCTTTTGGTTGAGGTCCCGGGGGCCTCGGGATGATTTCGGGTGGTTAACGGGGAGATTTTTGAAGTGCTGCAGCAACTGATTCTTTTCATCTTCTGGTATTTTCGCTTCTGCGGCTTGGGAACCGCAGAAGCGGAGCCGCATTAGCGGCTGGATCATCGCAGAAGGCACAGTTTCCAGGCGTCGCAGATGCGGAGGAAATTCCGCAGGAGCGGCCTCGCATCTGCGAGAAAATAGCCGCAGATGCGGCCGTTTGGCTTTTAGTTGGAACTGCATAAACGGTGGATAATCCGCATAAGCGAAACCGCATAAGCGGTTGACTGGACCGCAGAAGCGGATGTGGTCGTTTAGTAAGAGTCGCAGAAGTGGCTCACTTTCCGCATAAGCGGGACCGCAGAAGCGGTCCCTTGTCCGCAGAAGCGGAAATCCCTGGGCAGAAATAGAAATTTCGAGGGTTTGAGTTCATAAGTTACAAAAATCAATTGAGAGCTCGGTTTAAGGCGATTCTGAGTGAGAGTTGAAGTGAAGATCACTGGGTAACGTTTCTTTGATCCCTTCTTGTTATATTTCATCATTTTATAGTTAAATACATCATTGGAATTCGAATTTAGGATCAAAAATTGGAAGAAACTTCATAGACCTAATTATTGAGTTTTGAGTGGGCAATTGACCTCCGATTTGGGAGATTTTTATATGGTTAGACTCGTGAGAGTACGAGGGTTCTGAAAATGTGAAAATTATTCGATTCCGAGATGTTTGCGCCCTAGCTATAAATTTAATAGTGGAATCAGTTGTTTGCAATATTACTTACGATATGTAATTGAATTGAATAGATTTGGGCCATTCGGAGTCGGATACTCGTGGCAAAAGTGTGATTTCGAGTTGATTTTGGTGCCGATTCGAGGTAAGTGGCTTGTCTAACCTTGTGTGGGGGACTTTTTCCCTTAGGATTTGTTATTTGTTGATTTGAGTGCCTTGTTCGCGAGGTGACGGGCGCGTACTTGAGCCAATTGTTGAAAACCCGGTTTCCTTAAGATATTGAGATTGAGTTCCTTTCATATTTGCTTTATTCTACTTGCAATTATAACCTGTGCTAGATTAGAAAAGCATGTTTAGTTGATTTAACTTGCCTAATTGTTTAAGTTGCCTTGACTGTACTACGTGAAGCATGCTAGGCTAGTACTACCTGATGTTTGTCTTTGGTACTTCATTTTTGAATATCTTCTGGTTGTGGTTGCGCATTTACATTGGGACTACGGATGTGGGATTCCGGTAGCTCCCCCCTTGTTTGTTTACTTTGGGACTGCGGGTTCGATTCCCGATAGATCCCCCTGTACATATACTTTGGGACTACGGGTTAGATTCCCGATAGATCCCCCTGCACATTGATAGTTGGACTACGGGACGGTATCCCGGGAGATCCTTCGGATATACACATATGATGGACTACGGGACGGTATCCCGGGAGATCCACTGGACAGTTGAGAAAAGGGCTACAGGACGATATCCTGGGAGACCCTCATTGTTATCATTGATATTGAGCTGTATTTATTCTGTGTTTACTCTGTTCTTTTGTAGTTGTTATTGCCTCGTTGACCTGCTTTATTTCGCTGCTGTACTCATTATTTCTGTCAGATTTTCATACTGTTAATTATCATTATTATATTTTGCCTCAGTAGGGCCCTGACCTTCCTCGTCACTACCCAACCGAGGTTAGGCTTGGCACTTACTGAGTACCGTTGTGGTGTACTCATGCCCTTCCTGCGCATGTTTTTCACGTGCAGATCCAGGTACCTCCTCTCTGGCGCACTATCCTTGAGGCGAGGAGATTCACGGAGACTTCGAGGTATATCTGTAGCGTCCGCGGACCGAAGAGTCTTCTTCCTTATTCTAGTTGTAGAGCTGTTATCCTATCATATTCTTGATGTAGATATTCTGGAGATTAGAGTACTTATGGTAATTCTATTAGCCTGTGTTTCCCGTGAGTTTCCGGGTTTTGGGATTGAGTTGTAGACTTCCGCATATCTTTAGAGTTGTATAGGCCGGGCGGCCTTATATTCAGTTGTTATTTTCCATATGTTCGGTTTTAATTGATTATTCCTCAAGTTGAATTGTTATTTCCGCACTGTTAGGCTTACCTGGTCATGGGGACCAGGTGCCGTCATGACATGTTCACGGTTGGTTAACTAGGGTCGTGAGAAGTTGGTATCAGAGCTCTAGGTTCATAGGAGTCACGGAACACAGGCCGGTTTATTAGAGTCTCGCTGATCGGTACGGAGACGTTTGTATTTATCTACGAGAGGCTATGGAACTGTTTAGGAAAAATCTTCACTTCATTTGGATTCCTTGTCGTGCGATATTTTTGACATCAATTCTAAACTTCTGTCTTCTATTCTCTCACAGATGGTGAGGACACGCGCTACTCGAGATGATCAGGCACCCGCGCCCCCTACTGCCGCCGCCAGAGCCGGGGCTGAGGTAGAGGTCGAGGACGCGCACGTGGTGCAGCCAGAGCACCTGTGCGAGCTGCCGCCGAGGTACCACCAGCAGATCCAGCCGAAGCCCAGGCACC